TTACAAACAACTCAAATTATAGAACAGATTTCAATTGAGTGCCGTGAAACCAAAACTTGGAGTAGTCAGCCAAGCTCAAGCCGGAGTAAAACCAAAACCAAAACAAAAGTAATTCCAATTCTGCTGGAAAAGTTGATTTTTCATTTTTTTTTCTTAATCTAAATTCTAGTTAAGCGCCAATTAAATTAAGCTAAAAGAAACAGTGCTAAAATCAGTGGTTTTAGTATTCCGGCAAGCCCTCGTTCTAGCTTTGAGGGGGACTTGACTATCAGGCTAAACGGGTGGGACTTGCTAAGACCCTAATAGTCATATTAGATTAAAATCAGACCTTAAAAAGTGCAACGTAAACCCAAAGAATGTATCTCGTTGTCAATATACCCTAGGAAAAAAGATGTCGACTGGTATATTTACCAGTTTCTCTTACCCATAATTTTAGTGCACGAAAACTTTGTCAACGCTTATGAACATGCCATACACATTGTCGTTAGGGACAAATACTGCAGATATATGGCTTTCCAAATATAGGCTGTGTAAGGCTCCCATGTGTTGAATTGTGGTAAAATGTACAGCCGCCATCTTTTTTCCTTCATGAAGGATTGTACGAAATTATGTAATTATGTAATTTACCTTTGTAAATGAAACCGACAAGACTGGCATAATAATAAGAAAGAATCCTTACCAGCATCTTTCCACTTTTTTTAAAAAGAAAAAGTCACGACAAAGTTTGAAACCTTACAAAAGTTCCAGTCTTCAGGCGAAGAAAATTTCAAAACAAAAATGGGCCTTGTGTCTCCATGTCACCGTTCTAGTGTAGGTGCTGAGTGTGATTATGCCGTACCACAATAACGCAAATAACAAAACAGTCTCACAAGCTGGTAAACGTAGAAATTGCCACAATTCTTGACGGAGATTAGCCGTCGAAAGAAGCAACAGTCCTCTCCATTGCGAAAACTCTTTCATGTTAACAACCCCCTGCGCTGTATTCGGGTGATCTCCACTAAACCAACCAGGTACATCGGTGTTACAGTGGTGTCGAGGAGCGCAGGAGGTTGCCATCTGTCCTCCAGCATTTTCACTGAATCGGTACAGGCTTTTTTGTCGAGAGCGTCGTCACTGTCGCACTGCAGGGAACCGGGATGGCTGACTACAAACGATGTTCTCCGATCGGCCTCATCAAGCAAACGGTAGTAGTAGCATGGATCCGTGAATTGATGATTGAAACAAAGAATTTAAATGGTCTACAGATTTGCACTAGGCCTGCGTTTAACTGTTAGGGTTCTGTAGTAGGAAAAACAAAACAAAACGAAAAAATGCTACTCTAACTGAATAATTAACATACAAGTCATATAAAGGGTTCTCCTAGCAATTTGCAGGTATTTGTATATTTGTACTTAAGTGCGTAAAAAAGCGCTTTGAAATAGAAGTAAGGTGTTGCCTTTGAACACAGCGCAGTGATCTGAAAATGCATGGGCTCTAGATGGAAGAACAAAAAGCATCACAGACGAAAAAACGATAAAAGAGGGTGAAATTGACCCCACGAGAGGATTAGGTAAGAGAGTTAATGCTGAATTTTTATCAGGCTTTAATTTCACAACTGATTAAGTAGTCTGTATAACTGTGATCTTCGTGTCTTTCTCCGCAGTTCGAATATATGATATTTCATATGTTCACTCTATCTACGGGTATATTGAGAACTCACAATGTGACCAGCCCCCAGTTGGCTTGATAGTTCAGTTGGTAGAGCACTGCACCGGTATCGCTGAGGTCATAGGTTCGAATCCCGTTCAGGCCTGAATTTTTTTTCAGGCTTTAATTTCACAACTGCTAAAGTTTTCTGTATAAATATAAAGTTNACTGAATCGGTACCAGGCTTTTTTGTCGAGAGTGTCGTCACTGTCGCAATGCAGGGAACCTCGATGGCTGACTACAAACGATGTTCTCCGATCGGCCTCATCAAGCAAACGGTAGTAGTAACATGGATCCGTGAACTGATGATTGAAACAAAGAATTTAAATGGTCTACAGATTTGCACCATTTAGATGGATTACCAGGCCTGCCTTTAACTGCTAGGGCTCTCTAGTAGGAAAAACAAAGCAAAACGAAAAAAATGCTACTCTAACTGAATAACATACAAGTCATATAAAGGGCTCTCCTAGCAATTTGCAGGTATTTGTATATTTGTACTTCAGTGCGTAAAAAAGCGCTTTGAAATAGAAGTAAGGTGTTGCCTTTGAACACAGCGCAGTGATCTGAAAATGCATGGGCTCTAGATGGAAGAACAAAAAGCATCACAGACGAAAAAACGATAAAAGAGGGTGAAATTGACCCCACGAGAGGATTAGGTAAGAGAGTTAATGCTGAATTTTTATCAGGCTTTAATTTCACAACTGATTAAGTAGTCTGTATAACTGTGATCTTCGTGTCTTTCTCCGCAGTTCGAATATATGATATTTCATATGTTCACTCTATCTACGGGTATATTGAGAACTCACAATGTGACCAGCCCCCAGTTGGCTTGATAGTTCAGTTGGTAGAGCACTGCACCGGTATCGCTGAGGTCATAGGTTCGAATCCCGTTCAGGCCTGAATTTTTTT